AAGCATAACTTAGTTTTAACTGAATATACAAATAAAAAGTGATTGCGACTTAATTTTAGTAACATTTAACTTTATAATGTAATTTACTCTAGTTATTTTCATCAGTGTTTTTTCAATGTGGTAGTAACTGTTGAATGTATGAAATAATTTGTTCGTCAAGCGAACGTCAAAATTATAAATTACGTTTAATTAAAAATGGCAAAAAAGACCTATGATTTACTTTTTAAATTGCTGTTAATAGGAGATTCTGGTGTTGGTAAAACTTGCATATTGTTCAGATTTTCTGACGATGCATTTACGACTACCTTTATTTCAACTATTGGTACGTAAATTTTTTGTTTAAATTTTTAATTATAACATATTCATGCCTTTTTCATGTTTAATAATCATTGCAGTTTTATTTATTGAATATTTTCCCAAAAATGTTCAATTCTTAAAATCCTTTGCAATTTCATTGTTATCACGTTATTTATAAATACAGGGTGAGGTCAGGCACCATTTAATTGTTTTTTATTTTAGGCATAGATTTTAAAATAAAGACCGTTGAATTAAGAGGAAAGAAAATAAAGTTACAAATATGGGATACTGCAGGACAAGAAAGATTCCACACTATCACTACATCTTATTACAGAGGTGCCATGGGAATTATGCTGGTTTATGATATAACAAATGAAAAAAGTTTTGAAAATATAATAAAATGGCTAAGAAACATAGATGAGGTAAGTACAAAATTAAATATAATCAGTGAGTTACATATTCCTTAATCTGTATTTTATTAGCATGCTAATGAAGATGTTGAGAAAATGATATTAGGGAATAAATGTGATATGGAAGACAAAAGAGCTGTTAGTAAGGAAAGGGGAGAAGCTGTAAGTCTTACAAATCTTGTGTTTATAATTCTAGTAATTTACTTATTACAAAACATATATTAGTAATTATAAAAAGCATACATTAGCAGTTGATTATTATTATTTAGTATACAGATATTTAATATGGGTGATCTTTTTAATATAAATTAGGTGGCCAGAGAACATGGGATAAGATTTATGGAAACATCAGCCAAGGCAAGTATAAATATAGATCGAGCATTTAATGAGTTAGCAGAAGCAATATTAGATAAAACAGCAGGAAGAGAACCTGGTGATCATGTCGACAGAGTTACTGTAGATAGAAGACAACAGTCAAGCACCACAGGCTCGTGCTGCAATAAATAAGCCATAATTTAAGTCCTAAACGTTTTACTCAATGATATTCAATTTTTGTGAATTTTATTGTAGAATATGAAATTGAGTATATTTTGTAGGATTGTGTTGATTATGCAGTTACTTAATCTCTCTTTTTCCTTATTTTTCTTCAACTCATTTTGGATTAAGGAACGAGATTAATAGTTTGTTTATATATATTTTTGTAATTTAGTTTTCGTACAGGAAGATTTTTTTCTCCTTGAACATCGTAACCTTTGTAATACGTATTAATTTATTAAGAGAATGAAAAGATAACAGGAATATTGTTTTGTTCATATAAGGAAGCACAATAAGAACTCGTAGGGAAATATGTTATTTGCTTAATAGATGTCTGCTTTAAGGTTGTAAAGAATGTATATATTAATTATGGGGAATGTTCAATATAAAATGGATGTTGAATGAAGGAGCTTTGTAATAGTAAATTCTCATGACTAGTCATACACAGGTTTGAAGGTTGTATTTTTTTTTTTTCTATTTATCAACTGTGTTACTGATCTCAGAATCTGAATTTTATAACTTAAACATGAATGACCAAAACACCAAAATAAATTTTTGGTTTAAATTCACATAATTAATGTACTGTATAATCATGAAAAAATGCTCTTAACTTTATTTTTGATATACGAAGTGTTTCGTTAGTCGTAGTAAATTAAAATTTTCAAAATTATGTACTTCACTTTTTTGCAGTCATACTTTATAATATGCAAATCAAATATTAAAATTTAAATTAGATACTCATCTACATTTTTTATTTATGTGTAATCATTTTTTTTTAACTTATCAAGAAAAATTGTACACCTTAATATAAACTTTTGCAACTTCAAACTTGTTAAAACAAAAAATGACTTTGTATTCATAAATTGCCTTCTTGTCGCTACCATTACATTGTACACATTGGCAAAGATCTGCAATATTTATAAATTGTAATAGTAATTTCCAATATTTTTTCTATACCTACTTGAAAAGGTATGTAAAATGTTTTTAAATAATATGCATTGGAGGATAAATTTATTTTGTGTAAAACGTTTTTTTCTCAATTGGTTGGAATATTGAGCTAAAATATGTTTTCAAATACTTAATTTGCCATTATTATAAGTTTAAGCTTTCATTGTAATTTACTATAAATGAGTGTTAATATACCAATTGCTTTGTTATTTTTGTAGTCTGTGTATTATTATTCTTTTTTCTAATGCGTCTAACTAAAAGAGGTAAATTTTCGATATCTACGAAGTCAAGATGGGAAAATAGCGCAGGATCGACTCAGTTTAAACAAAAACGTGAGTTTCGTCTTCGGAATACGACTTTCGTTTGAGATGATGAAAATTTCTCTTTTAGCTGATTATCTTTTACATCATTATTTTGTATCTCTACCACATTTTCAACATATCGTCGGATACTACATTACGCAATATTTTTCTATCGACTATTACTTTTGGGCGATCCTCTGCTAACATTTCAAATGTATAAAAAGTTTCATAAGAGGATCAAATGTAATTTTTAGTTTAATACTTTATGGTTCTTTACCAAGATAACGTTATTTTTTTATAAGGACTTTTTTAAGTATATGAAATACAAATTATGTACTACAGTTAGCAGTAGATGGCGGTATACTGCCTGTAACTTATATTAACTTTAATTTTTCCTTTTAATTCTTATTGGTTTAACAATTTCAAATGGAAAAAAGAGTTGATTGGAAAATGTTTGATCAACTTTTGTCTCCATTTCTGTAAAAGCATTTCAGCATAGATACTTCAGGCTGCAAAAAGAGGCAGAGACTTTCTCAATATTATATTTAAATGGCATGATAACAAATAAAGGGAAACATTTATATTATTTGTACATATATTTCTAAAAAGAAAATGGTTGCATTTCATTAATAATGTTGTGNGGTGACCTCCTCTTTCGATCCCATCCACCATCTAGACATTTACCTTATTTTTTAACTCTAAATAAACATCGTTTATTACTTTTGAATCACACCCTCTTACATAGGTATTCCATTCGTTATGACACCCTTATGTATGCATGTATATACTTATTAAGGTTCATGTCAGCTGGCATTCCCCTAATTCATGAAAAAGATACAGAAATCTTTGTGTGGAACTGTCTGCTTCGCAGTTCCAAAGGCGTGGCGTTTAACTGTTGTGCACATGCGCACATACAACCTGAACGTTGTATGGAAGAAACAGCACTGCGTTATCGCAACGCCGACCCTGGCGTGCTGGTGGAAGGGAATTTTTTTTTTACTTTTGCGTGTGTATGGCATTTGTTTCCTTTTACACAATTTTAAAACAGGCAACATCCCCACCTATTTCAACTACAAGCCTCGACTGGTAGGTAACAACTTTAAGTAGGTACATATAGTTAGTTTTTAAAATGGCTGTTTTCCATTCTTCGTTACTCGAAAAATTTCAAAACGTGCTCAGCAACAATGGGTTCCAGCCAGTGGTATTGGTTCATACGATTAGTTAGTTGAAAACATTATTATTTTCAACGGAATTTCAATAGGAAAACGAACAGAAATGCGGGTAGCAGTACATAGACGAGTAGGCTCTGTATTATTGTTTCTTATCGCGGGAACATGCGCATTGTGCGCACGCTGATTGCGCTTTTCAGCTTTAGCCAACTCATTTACACCATACATGTATTATATTATTATGTCTCGTAATCCAGTTACCTTTGACTTCGTACCTGTTTGAACGCGGTTGAATTTGTTGTACGGTGGCTTTATTGTAAGAAACAAGTGCGAGTCATAAACAAAAAAAAAATGCATCTCATAATAAAAAAAAAGTACCTATCGCAACAATGCGTACGCGATGTGCGTTTGTTATTGTTTTTTCCTGTTGAAGACTTTTTTTTTAAAACGTGATTTAAAGGTACGTGTTTTTTTGTTACAACATTATACCTGATTTTATTTATTAATAACACTATTATACTATTGGACACATACACATTATAATGCGTTCGCAAAAAAGTATGTATATGCCTAAATCAGTTGTTAATATAAAAAAAAATGTTTATACTGTTTTATTTTATTGGCGTTTGTTAGTTCGATTATCGATAATTTTTTTAATGGTTTTATGTAGTAGTATGCTCAAGTGTTGGGCGGTTTCCATTTTTAATCGTAAGTCCATTTGTTTTTATGGGAAAGTTATCTGAACGCTTACACTTAATACCTCCCTGGAATTAATTTAAATAAAAAGTCCCCGTGTTTTATCATAGTCGCAATAACTTACAAGCAAACTCAGTTTTTATATGTTACAATAACGAATGGTCCGTATTAGTAAAAAATAAATTAAGATAGGCATCAAGGTGGCTCACACTATTCGGAATTATTGTTGTTAAAGTTTAAAAGTAAAACACTTCGCGTCGATAATTTAGAAATTAAAAGAGAAGACATTTCAAATACAATGAATTAATATGAAACCTATATTTTTTTAGAATGCATTCATATCAAAATAGAGCAGCACTTGGTTATAACATCACCCTATGAACCGGAGATATTTTGACGTAATAACCGGTGAGAGTAGTTATTAACGGATTATAAACTGAACAATTTCGGAAACTACACTAACTATGATGTGTAGCAATAAAAGTTTTAATTTTTGTCGACATTACCGAGATTGTTACCGTTGATTTGAATGGTAATTTTATGCGACTTTTTATTAAAAACTGACGTTACATCAGAATTGTCGTTATAACCGATGTTCCACTGTAGTGCGTACTTCTTTTGTTGATTACTCATCGTTGGCGTGTTATTTCGATGCCCCATTTTTTGCTTTTGAAAACTTGAGATCAGACGTGACCATAATACAGATACAAATGCATGTGTGTTTGTATTATAATTGTATATTATTGTATTGTACTCATGTGGCATTACGAACGGATTGTTGGAGGTATGTTCGCGCACCTATTATTTGTTCAACTATCAAAGTTTAATGTTTAAGTATGATTAGATTTAAGAGGTATTGCGTTACTTTATTGAAAACGACTTGGTATTTGTGTACCATGTGCACATTTGTGTATATTTACGCATATTTTAAGAAACAACATTGTTTATTGAAGACTCGCGATAACTTGTACAGGATGTTTGGGTTTGTTTTGCCTTCTTTAGATACGAGCTAGCCTTTATAATATTCGCATTCGAACATACAGTCTTACAAAATAAATGTGTTGATTTTAGCAATGTTGTCTGAAGTCTGACCCAGGGTTTTTCTTTTAAGTTGGTTAAATAAATAAAAAATTATTCTACCTCGAATTACACATCACAAGCCTCATATTAACCACCTACAGAATCTTGATACCATTTTTCGAGACCTTGTTATTTACGATCACACTTAGAAACAATCGAAAATTCGAGCAGCGTCTAACTTTAAGTTTTTGTGTGAAACATTTATTATAATATTCAAAATAATATTTAAATACATGTAATATTCCAATAAAAAAAATGATCCTTTTTGATATCCAATTAGTCTCATATCATTTGCTTTCGACAATTAAAAGTTGTAGTCACTCCACTTTTACGATTAGCGTAGCAGGCGACCGATGCAGCACGAATTAGACCGTTGAAAGTTAATAAATCATTATTGCTGCCTCAATTTCAATTGAAAAAGAAAACAAGTGTTATGTACGATTCTTTGTATTTCCTCTTATTTCATATGGCGCTATAAGTTTCTTTATAAAAAGTGAATTTAATACGTTATTTGCAATATAGGTGGCATAAAAATCATGTAACACAGAATTATTCATCTTTCGTCCTCTTCTATAAATATTATTTCAGAATTCAAAATTTTAACTTTAGTGAATGAGGTTTCTTCAGGGTAAATTAATAGAAAGTGATTACTAATATCTTGATTTTAATGTTTTGTTTCAATGAACTGTTGTAATTTTTCTTAATACGTTCTCTGATCAGGGGTGAAGGAGCGGTATTGCTTAGCGTGGCTATATATGACAAGGGAAGAGGGGATGGTCTAAGAAAATGTGACGTTTACAGTTGATCAATTTTATTTTATTTTTTTTTTTTTAACTTGGCAGTTCTTAAAATTTTCAATCATGATAGAAAGTCGTCTCATTACTATTTTTAATCACAATAAATCATGTATAGAAGGGTGGGCTAGCTTTTGTGACGTAATGTATGCTAAGGGCTCTCTGAAAGTGTGACAGCTTGAGGGGCCCAAAAATGTGAAATTCTGAGTGACATTTTATGGACCCCCATATTGTAAGTAAATAGATATTTAAAACATAACGATTCACTATCTAATTTTCAATTTAATTAAAAGTAATTATTCAATAAAAAAAACGAAGACGACGACCTTCTACCGTTGGGTTATTAGATATAAATTACATATTCCAAATAGTTCTTTGCGTGGCACAAGCTAACCGTAAGTTATTAAACTGTAATTGTGAAACTGGAACTGCAAATTAATAAAATAATGAACCTGTACTTGTAGGGGTCATTTTTCTGTATATTTTTTGTGTGGCAAGGATGCAGTTTTGTGTTTACTTGTTTAATTTATGCTTTTTATCAGTGTTGTACAGTTTTTGATACTTTTTTGTTGTTTACAACACAGTTTCTTATTATAACATCCTGCCATCTGGCTGCATCGATTATGTACTACAATTGTATTATCAGCGAACACAAACATAAAAGTAGGTAAATACGAGTTTGGTACTGGAGTATGTGTGGTAACATAATGAAGAAATTCAATAATTATATGTAAATTTCATACAAAAAATTCTCATATTAGTATGAATATTTCTAACTCAATAAGAATAAGTTATTTGTATAATGTTTTTGCTAAAAAGAGGTACATTTGTATGAGCTCTTATTGTAATAATAAAATAAATATAAAATGTACGATACCTTTACTTGATGAAGCTACATGTAGCGAAATAGTCGTGTATACAATGTATTTGTGAAAAGTTTATTCTGTGTTTTACAATACATGGATTTGTGATTTGTTAACTTCTACCAAGAAATGTTTGCCATTTAATTAATGTCAGTTTTGAGACAACCTGTAGATATTNAACTATTAAAAAAGAAAGAGAAAATGATTTAAAACAATTTAAACTATCAATTTACAAAGAAATTATTTCTTCAAATTCATAGTCATAAAACCTACTTAGTTATTCTTTGCAATTTGTGTTGAAATCGCCCAATATTGATTTCAATATCTTCATTGATGTTTGTATATTAACCATATAAGGTTGCTTCTAAATACACATATGCATAGAAAAAACAATTTTTAAATACACATTTGCAAATCTTGATCACACCTTCATAAATATTTGCGATTCACATTTCGAAATTTCTTGCATTTTAGATCAGATATATCCAATGTACACCGCATCCCGAATATGTTGTTAATTAAATAATTAATAAATCAATCCAAGCATTTCAGTTTAAAATAATAATTGTAAGATTAACGTATAATTTATAATTTTTACATCCTTTCTCGTAAAAATTAAATCAGAACAACGACAAAACTTGTTTAATTACACTATAAACTTTTTTTAATTGAGCAATTAATAGTATCAATGCTGTTAGTTTTTATTTAATAGACTATTCATTCAATTTGCGTGGATAAGAAATAATTAAACTTCACGAATGTGTTGTTAAAGAATTTTTGTTAAAAAGGTTTCCGCCACCAAACTCAAAATAAAAGCAATATTTGAAATTTGTCCATAACACAATTATTTGGTGGTTAATTAATTTTTTTTGCTTTTGTTTATTTTTCGCAGCATACTATTAAAAGTGTAGTGGGTGCCTATTCAATCTCAAGATAATGTTTTCAGTTATAAAAAGTAAATAAATGAGTGAAAACATTGAACATAAGAAATAAGAAATTCAGTAACTTCGAGTAGGATTTTTTAATTGCATTCAAAAATTTATTAATACTAACGTTTTGTTATGAAACAATTTATTGTTTAAACATAATTATGCCTTTAATAAAAGTAACAAACGTTATTATTACTGATACAACCTAAAACTTAAGGTAGAAAAAAAATTCTTTTCTAGCGTTTTCTACTAAATAATTGATGACTACACCGGTGGATGACCTTTTGTAAATTTAAAGTTGGTGTTTTTTTTAAATCGACAAATAACTTAAGGCATGATAAGAGCTCTTATCTTAGGAGATTGTTTGCTTTATTTCAATTGATAGTATACCATTCATGTGGTTTTTTCGTTTTAGATTGAACAACTACGATTATTAACGTCTCACATTAGCCGACAAAGGGTAAGTGACTTTCTTATTCATAATTAGGGAAATTTTAATTATGTAGAGAAACGTTAGGGGGAAATGGTGTATGCATATTTAAAAAAATAATATTAATCGTGTTACTGCTATTAAAGCAGGAATTAACTGATTACTAATTCAGAATTACCGTGCAATCTATGTTATGTTATCAGCTTTTTTATGTGCAATCAACGTCAATAAGTTTAAAATATGTAACACTATTTTGTAATTAATTTTCCTTGTTAACTGTTTAAATTAAAAATTTTGGATTATTAAATGGCAGGGCCATTTTTCTGTTACAACATCGTAACCTCTCTACCGTAAGAAAACTTTTGTATTTGTTTGTTTATTTGTAGGGAAAGACAACACGCACTAAGTGATAATAATACTTATATGTATAAACTTTTGAGATAGGGCTGTCCAATAAATATTAACAATAAAACGAAACACCTTTGTACCCTCGCTGCATATAAAGCGTTTTGACCGTGGATCAAATTTATTATGCCCACAATTTTATATGATTTTTTTTAAGTTATATTTCCAAGTAAACTTTGTGCATATATTTTTTTTTAATGTATAGATATAACTCTCCATGTTTTCAATGCATGCATTATTGTAAAGTATCATCGCGGGTTTTATTATCAACATCTGTATGTTTGTATTAGATAAAACTGTTTGATTTGCCCTTACTTAGGGACGGACGCAAAACACCTATGCTATGTGAACGTTTCGTTGGTAACAGAAAGGGGGTTTTCTTCTAAAAATAGACAATACACCTATATATATATAACTGCACATAATTATAATAAAATATGATATACTAAAATACGTACAGTTTATTTTATCAACTTATAAATTGGTTTATGGCATTTTAAAAAAGGGCACAGCAGCCAAGTAACATGATGTAGACGGTAGAATAAAAAAAAATAATAAAAAGATCAAAATATTTTGTGACACCGGCTGTTCAAGTACTCAACTAACAACAAATTATATGTATAAAACAGTAATTAAACTACGAAACTAGAAGTTTTACTTTTCAAATGGAACGATTTTTGTTTTCTTTCGAATGTAATTCAATTTCTTGCATTAGACTACGTGAAAATTTTGTTTAACCAAAATTTAAAAAAAAATCTATTTTCTTAACATTTACATTTGTGCGCCACTGATGTGTATTGTATATAATAAAAAACTTTGCAGTTAAAAAAAATGCAGTTCGATTTTTTGTTTGTTATCTATCGATAAATGGCTAGTAATAAAATCATAACGACTAACCTAAATACATCTAAAAGGAGTTTTTAATAACTACAAAGCAATAGTCCTTACGTACATTGAAGTGTTATCTATCGAAAATTGGTTTTTCTAGAAATTTAATTTATGAAATCCGGCAGGGGGAACTTATGCGAAAAATATGCACCTAGACGGATTCATTAATAAACAAAAAACAAGAAATCACAACGATTAAAAATGAAAGTTGAATACCATAACAGCAACAGTTTTTGAATTAAAATTTTTAGCAGTTTCTAAATATAGGGTGACAGGAAATTGTTCGTATTCCTTTTGGTAGAAAAAACTATCACTAATTTGAAATGATTTAACCTTTATCACTTGGTGGTCGGAAATGCGCCAATTTCGAGAAAATCTGTTCTACAAAAATCGGAATTTTGTGAACTAAAAATTTAATTCCCTTTTTGGCCTGATTTTTTCCATGGTTTGATAACTTACTAATTGGCCAACCTTCCTAAACCTAAAAGACAAAATTTTCGGTTAGATTTTAAAAATTCTTAGTATATTTTCCCGAAAATGGCCCATTTCCAACCCCCCAAGTGTTAGAAGAATCGTTCCAAGTTAGTTGCTTTTCCCGAGAGGAATACGACTAATTTCCTATCACCCTGTATAAACAAGGCGACGAAACGAGATTTGTTTTTCAAAATGGAATGTCTAGAATGCGAAGCATAAGAAATCAGTTGTATGTAAACGTCTAACAATAAGTCATTAAACTATTCGTCATCTCATCACATTTCCTATTTCTTCGAATCATCAACATTGATATGTAGATATGTAGATATGTATGGCGACAAAATCGTAGCCATTTGTTGCAAATTTATACGCATTTTGCTATTGATTTTGTTCTTCTAAAAGAACCCATCCAGTTCGGTTATCAATATTTGTTTAGCAAATGATCAAACAGTGGAGATTAGGTCTTTAATAATAAATAGGGTGGTTTTATCACAGTTTCTCATGGTAACCACCTACTCTATAAAAGCACCTGATGAATTTATTTTACACAATTTCATCAATATTGTTGCTGTAGATTACTCTTCGTTTGACGAAAAAAAATTGGTGCCCTTTGGTAAGTTTTCCCTATTTTACTTTACATCTACCATTTCAATTTTTTTACATATGTATTTCTATGTATATATTTATTCTTGTTACCTAATACCTAATTACGAACATAAAATTCATATATTTTTAAAACGTTTTGGTATACTTTTATTAAAAATATTTTTGAAAATACATTAAAAGTATTTAAGAAAGTAATAAAAAATTACGAATTATTTAGCGAACGGAAATAGGGGATTTTAAAGTAAAAAGACTATTACCTAACCCTGGTGGGGAGGTAATCAAATAATTTATAACGGTTCTTGTACGGGATGTATTTCCGTAGATTATCACGGATATATGTTTTACGTAAACAATGACTATTTCACCGGTAGATAGCAAGCCCTTTTGGTAAACACACTTACGTGGTAACATTAATAATAGCGGATGAGAATAGAAAATACCTATAACGTTTATATTTTTTAAGATTAATAGTAAAAAAAATACCAGTAGGACAAAAGGGTTCCCCATAAACTTTTACGTATGCGAATAATTTGTCTGTGACTGTAATTCGGGTCTTTCCCGCCTTTGCCGGGTAAGTTTCTCCCTAAAATCAGTACCCAAAACGTATAATTAAAATATTACAATTAACAAATTATTTTTTTTGTGATGTAACTACATATAAATTTACGGTTTTCGGAATTTTCTCTTTACTTCTGTTATGAGACATTTCTTTTTGTCAAATTTCACGACACTACGTAAACAGACAACTGACAGGCACCGAATGATCCTGTAAGGGTTCTTTTGGGGTACGGAACCCTAAACAAGACTGAATTGTTTTGTCAACTGCCAACGTATCTAACCCAGCCTATTATCTATGAATTCAGCTGCATGCACGATATTACAATGCTGTAATTAGTATTTTCGCTAACGAAGCCATATCATACAGAATAACGGATGCACAGGATATTATTGCATTCCCAGAATTGGTTGTTCATCTGTTTTTATAAACGGTTTCGTAACAAGCAATCATAGAATTTAATATTTCGGTTAACTTAATGGTGGATTTTATGTGATATTATTTTTTTTTTTTAATGAAAAATAAAACTTGCACATGTGGAAGGATATTAAAGGATAAAGTGGACCACCATTATTTGTACCTATCGCCAGTATCTTATCGTACTAATTTTACAAAAATCTCCACATCGAGCGTCTAGTATTAAAAAACTGCAATTGACCAGCCATTTATCAAAACTGTAACATACGTATCGCGATTTTACACTTATTAGTTTTCATCAGCACGCCCTAGATAGTTAAAAGCAAGTTGGTATATCAAGATATTGGCAGTATTAATTCGGTTTACGATAATCGTATCTAGTATTCCATCATTTTGATAAGTAAATCTGTTTTCAATATATGGGGAGTGATCCAAAAGTAATGACAATCGATTATTTCCAGTCCGCATGAAAATCCAAAGGATTTTTTTTGTTTATTTTTATTATTATTATTTATACCCACGAGATCGGCATAAAAAATCGTTAAAATATACCACGATTCCGGGGAGTAGGTTGAAGAAAATGTCTACCAAAGACATACATAGTGGAAATATTGAGGGACTTGGCCCTCCATATTCTACAGTTACATATTGGGGCAAGGAGTTTAAGGTAGGCAGAATATCCATTGAAGATAAACATTGTGATAAAAATGACCATCAGACATGTAGCTAAGGCCACAGGGATCTCATATGACAGCGTTCGTAGAATCCTTGCGTTGGGTACCCAGGATGTTAACCGACGAGCAAAAGAAAAAACGAGTCGACATTTCGAGAATGAATCTCGAAAAATTCCAAGTAGATCAATAAAAGTTTTTGTCACATTTCGTGAACATGGGCAAGACCTAGATCCACGATTTTAAACTGTTTAACGGGAAAGACTATGGCGTCCTATTTTTTGGGACCCTGATGCAATAATAATAGTGGAATATTAGGAAAAGGGAGCCACTATCTTAGGTTCTTAATACCTAGACCAAGTTTGAAGATTATGGGAGGCCATTAAAGACAAAAGAGGCGCCAAATTTCAAACTGGAGTACTGTTTCAACAAGACAATTCGCTCCTAGAACACCAGCCCTTTTCGCCAGATCTAGCTCCCAGTGACATCTACCTCTTTCTTCGACTTAAAGAACACCTTCGAGACAAGAAAGAAGACGATAAAGAAGTGATGGTCGCTGTTGAGACGCTTTGGGAGAGTAAAGAGAATGATTTTCTTGTAAGGGAATCCTGGGTTTAGAAAAAAGACGGACTAAATGTATTGAGTTAATAGAAGACTTTGTAGGAAAATAAATTATTTTTGGTAAAGTTCTAGATGATGGCCCCCACCCCCTTTGGGGTTTCCTAAAAGTTATGAGGAGGNGCAAACAATCCATCGCACATGTTTACGGACATGGAAGCAGACGAAGACGGGGTAATACTGTCACTTAAAATCACTTTGAATGATGAAATTAATTTTTATTGCTTATTTATTTGTATAAGCTAAAAAGCTTTAACCATAACATTTATTTTCATTTTTAAACAAAACTTTTAGTTGTTAATAAAATAAAGTTAAATTAACAGCTTTGTCAGATGGGCCGTGCCTTGTTTTCATGAAAAAGTGTTTAAAAGTAAAGGTTCAGTTAATATTATTTTTTATTTTGTAAGGACGATATCATTTTGATTTGCTAACTTTATTTGGGTATAGCTGCACGTTAAATATCAGCTGGTAATTCTGGGTAATTGTGATCCCAGAGTGTCGACTGATATTAACACGTTTAGCTATAATCTCTCCCTCAACCAACTAATGTTATAAAAGGACCACAAATCGAATCGACAGCATGTACATTTACACGATCATATTTTTTTATTTTTTATGGTCATACCTAGACAGGTTTGATTTCTTTTTTATAATTTTANTAGAACACGAAAGAAGTGTCTGTAGTGAATGGCAAGTTGAGACACGAATATGGGACACTTCGCAATCCGTACATTTCGCACCGCTTTTTACTTCCTCAATGATCAATTGGTAATTCTGGGGAGGGTGCCGATCAGGTCATTAAACAATCTCCCTGCGTAATTAGCAGATAATGTAAATATTAAATAATTCCAAATATATTTTTGTTGTCCTATTTCTGCAACATATATTTTTGGAATTGGCAACTCTTATTCTCGAGTCCTTTTTCGGGTCGCAGACAAACTTTTTTGGTAAAGGTCTAGATGATGGCCCCCACCCCCGAAGGGGGTTGGGATGGGGAGGATCGAAGGAGGAGGTCTCCACCACTTTACCATAAAAAGTTCGTGGCGGTCTCACCCCCATAAAAGGTTATAGGGGTTCAAAGTTAATAAATATACCAATTTTTATACATTTCTAGGCATGTAAATATTTATATAGTCATTCTTCAACAATATTCAAAGGTAAAACTAATGAAAAATACATAAAAATATTGAGGAAGTTATATAAAACATTATTTAAATATCTTTATCAATAGGGTACGTTAGGTTAGGTTAGGTTATCGGGTTTTGTTCAAGTGACCACCCTCTTTCGATCCCCCACCTCCACCCGCTTGAAAATATTTTTTTTATTGAATTTTATTTGAATTATAGTGTATGAAAATTGTCAAAATAATCAACTTTCAACCCCCAT